ATTATTTCAAAATTTATTTTACACTTTTACGTGATTTATTGGATAGATCTTTTGGTACCTTTTTTACAAGTTTTAAGAATACGAAAATATTATGTTTTTAAGAAAAAAGTACAAGACAATACGACGCAAGAAACCTTTTGCATATCATTTCTTGCCTCTGACGTCATAATTCAATATGGCTGCAGAGAGACAATCTAGCCTTAAAATATCTTTTTTAATACATCAAATTATATATTTTAAGATTTTTAAATTTTAATTTCTGTTTTTATAAATTATTAATTCAACTTTTTAATTTTCATTTGCCCATTTTTATTCATTTTCAATGCATTTGTTTTCATATCCTTGGACATAGGTGGACTTTCGTGATTGAGCGCATGTAACATACGAATAAGTATAATATAATGCGCACTGGTCGACCGGATGTGCGGCAGGCGCGTTATACTCATGTATTAATCTCGCTGAAATATTCCAAGAAAGTCTGTCCATTTTTTCGAATATCTCGAAAGTATTTTAATCCTCATTATCTTGTCTTTTGCGCGCCAGAGAAATCGCGTTACACCGCGCAATATAATACATATATAGGAGGTCCCTCATAAATAAAAAATTCAGGACAGCATGTCCTGAAAAAAATCTCACACCTCTACACACGACTAGCTTAGATTTGGTGCTAATGGACAAGGTGAAAAAAATGCACACACACACACACACACACACACACACACACGCGCGCGCGCGCGCGCGCGCGCAACACGATTCGGTACACACAAACACTTCCTACACACGAACGCGCGTTTCTTTGACGACGCGTGAAAACGCATCGATCATTCTGGAATTGTAATCTCGGCGATGATGTCTCTTTTGACTCTGTCCGCCGGGTATTACACGCAATCATGTACAGATGGATGCAGGTGTATATGAGAGAGTGCCCGCGTTGGTAACGCGCTGCATACCAATCCCGTGGCCCGTGTTCGTGCCGCGTTTTTCACGTTATACACGGCCGCGCGATTCTCTTCCGCAGGATCACGCGTCTGCGTTTGATGCTGAACAACACCGCCAAGCAATGGCCGCGACGTTAAATTCGTGCAGCGTGCACCAGCGGAAGATATTATCCTCCGAGCTCTGGAAACGGAATCCCGCCTCGTGCTTGCCTCCCTCTTGATTAATCTAAAAAAAAAATCAATTTAATTTGAGAAGGAAATACATATACTTATATGACGAGAAACCAAATACTCCTGAACTATAATTGAAAACACAAGAACTTATTAAAGAGATTTTCACAGGAATTTCCTCTCTTAAGAGAGAAGATATCTTCTCTCTTAACCCTTGCATCTCTATAAATTATTATATAGACTTGAATTTATATAAGTGTTACTAAATTTTTCGACCGCAAATTATTATGTGATATGTTGAAGTACGCATATTTCAGATCTCGTGAAGGAAGAACCTTGCATATATGAATTATGTGAAAAGCCCTTTCTAAAATCTTTGAAGGAATTTGAGATATTGTTCACAGTCGAAAAAAAAATGAACTTTTAATCATTACGATATTTCCTACGCACGCATTTTCGACAATGAGTGCGTCGTTCAGAAATATAACAAGTTAATATCTATAGCATAAATAAAATATTATTAATATTTTATACTATTTTAAGAACTGCATGCATACGCAGAGAATGTAGAAAATTTGCGTTCGATTCTTTCTGAAATTCAATATTGTGCCAATAATAATGTTTGCGGTCGCCTAGATTTACTATCACGCGAAGTTATTAATAGCAGTTTCCTAGGGAGAAAAAAAAATTTAGAACTTCTTAGCTTGAAAACGGTGCTTCCCCACGAATAGCGTAATGACTCGCGCTCTTATCGATGACCCCGAGGCATCGATAGCATTTTGGTCTTTCCATAAGTGATATCAGTCGTCTTCCATGATATCGCGTTGTAAATATAGCGATTTCTATACATACTAAGGAACTGAATGCGTGACATCTACCCCCTGTCGCCGTTCTTTTCTAAAAAATAACGAATAAATTCCTTCCTTTAGTTAAAAAAAACTTGAGAAAAGAAAACTTTTTAAGTAATTCCGATTTTCAAGATTAGGAATCTGATTTCAGATAGATTTCTTTCTGATTCCCTTTTGAATCAAAATAACGTTCTTCTTTCGTGAGATTTAATTAATTAATTAGGACGATTTATTAAGCAGGGAGGCGCGCAAGAGATCGGCAGTGCACTTCAATCTTCCATAATGACTCTTAAATGTTAAATAATACTAATCGTAAGGTGTAAGAAGGCTGAGCTCTTACAAGTTAAGTTCAACTTGATGAGAGCCGGGAGTACATTTGTGCGAGAAGATAAATTATTTATTTGTTTACGATAACGAAGCGTAATTCGCGACTCGGGCGGCTCGCGCGCGATTCTTCCTCAGCAATTGTATCAAATTGTACTATCAAACGAGACGCTCATTTTCAACACCCGCTATTATCTTATTGCAAAAATTACGAGATAGAAACTTTATTTTTTTTTTTTAGAATGGAATCTACGAAAAGAATAGTATTTTTCGTGTAAGATATTTGTTTGAAAGATTCCTAACATCTTTGGTATCGAATGAATCTCATTATCTCAACATGTTATATTTGTTGTCACGAATTGTCACTAATAAAATATATTTCAGAATAATGAGAAAAATATTTTTGCGCTGAATATCAGCTAAAGTTTTTTCATCATCAAAATAAACAATCAAGTCTTCGAGAAACTCCTACAAGAAATAAAGGACAAAGGAGGCTCAGGTTGGTCGTTGCTCAAAGAAATAATTTTCAAGATGATCTTAAACTCTGATTAACTTAATCATCTTCAATCGATAGGATTTCACCTGAAGCAAAATTTCTATCTTTCTTTCCATATGTGGAAGATTCCATCTGCGTTAACGCGATAACGAAAGTGTTGCTTCAATTGATAAGTTAATCGCTGATTGGGTTGATCAGGGCTCGATCAAAATCATCCCTGTGATCGATCTCTCGGTCAGATCTCGTATGGGATTTTGGAGAAATCTGGCGGGTCTTGAAAATACGCAGTTCGCGTAAATGACTGGCGTTGTATATAGCGCAAGCGTCCGTGCGCGAGCGTCCGTAAATGCGACCCGTCTAAAGATTCGTACGGTGCATGCGTGCGTACTTTAAGTGCAGATTAAGTGCAGAAGAATAAGAAAAAGGAAAAAAGAAAAAAGTGAGGAAAGAGAACTGTAACAGTTGCGATCATATGCGCCGATCGTCGGCGAGGGCTAACGGAACGTATTGTGCATTATGTGTCGGAAAGAAAATAAAATCAAAATCGAGGCTCATCGAGTTTTCCGTCTGTTCTTCGTCCTTTTATCTATATTGATTCTCAAATTGTGGTTCTGTTGAGGAAAAAAGATAACGATGTTCCAGATAGCGTAGAGAAAAATAATTCGTTTTGAATCCTTTATGGAATGTATTCTTCTTCCGTTTCATATCTAATCTAAAAATGTTTGATAAGAGTTCCAAAGAGTTTCACTTTTATATTATCAATTCTGAGCTCTTTTTCAGATACAAATGGAAATCTTCTTATAGTTTATAATAATTCGCAATGAAATTGAAATAATTTTTAGATTAATACACCTAACAAATATATCTCTCAGAGAAATATCAAGTCTCTAAAATAATTATTGCAAAGAACTAAACGAAATTGTGCTATCAAGATACTTTTTATTTACTTTTACCTCGGAAATCAATTTTATGGGCTTACCTTCAAGGGATCACTTTATCGTTATTTTATTAGAACATAATTCAAAAAACTCTTAATATAATGTCTTTTATTCTGTCCTGTATGATTTTTAAATTACGAGAAATAGAACTCCGTCGCATCCAACCGTCGATGATGCCACATACTACTCGCGGATGAGCGATTCTTTTCGAATATATTATGAATAGAAAAAGGATTTCTCTCAGAGCAACTTTGATTTAACTCCACAAAAATCAAAATATACTTCTATTCCTTTTTTTCTTTTAGAATTTTTAGAATAGAAATTTTAATGCCATCTATATTTGATTGTTTTTCTTTTAGATCCCAATTTGAGAACAGAGATGTGATTTATTTTTTTCTAATTTTCATGAAATAAATAAAAAAATAAAAATAAAAAATTAAATCATTAAAATAATCTATATTGTATATCTGTATTATTTTGTTAATTTAGACAAAATAGAAAATAAGAAAAAGCGAGACGATTCTTTATCATTTAATATATATATATATATATATATATATATATATATATATATATATATATATATATAATAAT